GGAGCTTTCCCAGGCTGCCAGTCCCACCCAGGCACCATCCTGCGGGTGCTGAGCTGCCCGCGATGCCCCCGCACCCTCCATCCTGCCAAGGACAACCAGCACCTCGCAGGAACAGTCCCTCTGGAAAGCTCGGGGTTAACACCATCCCATTCAAGAGGCTTTTTTGCTAAAAAACAACATTATTTACAGCTCCTACCTCCTCAAGGGTAAATCTGCAGCCACATCATTAAGCACAGACAAAAGCCTTTAACCAGGCTGGGGCGGGGGTATTCACAGCCAGCCGGGATGGGGCTGGGGGGAGACCAAAGCCCCTCCACCCCCCCGTGAATGCAAACCCCGGGGTGGCTGCATGCCCTGGTGCTGGAGCCATGGTGAAAAGCGGAGCATCCCGGAGCGGCCTCATCCACGGGACCCCCCCGCCGCTGCCTGCCCGCCGTGACACGGGAGCCTCTGAGCCGCCGGGCTGGCAGACACCCGTTAGCTGAAAGGGAGGAAGACCCAGAAAAACCAACATCCCTCCCCTTGGGCTCGCCACCCTTCCCGCTCTCACTGCTATCCATCCTTCCATCAGCCATCCCCGGCATCCCCCCCCCCGCCCCCAGCTGCAGGCAGCCTTCCAGTGGGTGCCCACTGAAATCCATTGTTCATGGGTGGGGAAAAAGGAGCCAGGATGCTCCCGGCTTCTTTGGAGGGGCGGTTTCTCATTTCTGCCAGCAGTAATTTGGAACCACTTACCAGATGGAATAAAGCAGCGGATTCTTTAGTGGTGACAAAAATGGGGCATCCTACCAGCTGCAGCCTAGCTGGGGTTTGAAGGAGGGGCTCAGGTGGGCTCCTGCCCTCTTCCCTCTTTTTACATGGAAGGACAGATTACAACCCTCTTCCCAGGACAGTCCGGAGAGCCGGTGGTTATATTACATGACAAAGAGCCACTGCACCTCCCTGCAAAATGATGTGCTGCTAAAACTCTGGTTAATTCTTGCATTCGACCTTCATAGCATAATCTGGTTAATGTGGTTCCGGGGCTGAGCAAGCCCCATCTCCCCGCACATAATTCAATAACGGTTTGAAGAGCGAGATCCTCAGATGCTTATGTTGTCATGGAATCCATGAAATAAGATTAATCGGGGCAGAGGAAAAGAAAGTGAGAAATCAGAGCCTAGTTGGGGAGGATAAGAGGAGCTGAGGAGGATTGCCATTGAATACCAATAGCTCTCTCATCTGAAGATCTCCAGACCTCTTAAGACACAGAGAGAGACTTGCTACTCCTTCACAGGAGGAGCGGCGTGTCAGTCTGCGCAGGGTCTCCAGCAACAATTCACAGGTCAGGCACTTCTCCGGGAACAGAAAAGGTACTAGAAAATGGTCTGAATTATTTCCGTTTCGTGCCAGCCCGCAGAGCCCCTGGGTGCAGACGCAGCTCCTGCCTAGGGCAGAGCCCCTGCACCGTCCACGGCTCCTCACCGGGTCAATGGGCCACACAGCCTTGATTAACTGCATTAATTAGGGGAACATGGGAAACTCAGGGATGAGAAATGCTACTAATCTCCTCCTGCAAAGGAGAAAATAATTCGTGAGTTGATTTTGGGTGGCCAGGGAGCAATCTGCAGAGCAAAGGGCCCTGCTCTGAAGGTGGTCTGAAACGAGGGGCACGTCTCACCCGCGAGGAGCAATTCCCTTCCACTTCATGAAAAAGCATCGAGTTATCTATACCTGGGGCTAGAAGAACAGATCATGCCCCACATGTGCTTCTCCAGCTCCATCACCACCAAAGCACTGGCTGGTGTGACACAGCAGCATCTCGCACAGCTGTTTTCCAGGCCTCCTTCCCTGGGCTTTGACGATTCCCCAGGGAATTGGATGGATCCAGCCCCAGATCGTGGAGTGCAGACAACAGAAAGGTGCATTTCTGTAGGTAAAATTAGGATGCTCAGGTTCAAATGGGAGCCCTGGGCTGCCGCTGAGAGCTGTGACCCTGCCAGTCCTTCTCCCCTGGGACTCCCCCCGGCACCGACGCGCGTTACCGCCCCCAAAATAATTTCCAGGGCACCTGAGCGCTGCTGAATTGCATCAAGACAAATTCTGGTGTGTGAGCTAATCGTGGAAGGCAGCACTAAATCAAACCCACTGCTCTTGTTATGTATCGGAGGTGGAACTGAGCCATACCATGTGGATATGGATTTGTACAGTCCCTAATTTAGGGGTGGGTTGGATTCCATTCATATCCCACCTGACGCACATGCATTGGGTGGTTGGTTTGCCAGGAGGTGGGAAAAAATAGAAAGCATTTTCAAAGAAAGGAGAACAACTTCCTTCTTAGGCCTCCTTAACGTTGCTCTGAACGCAGAAATCACTCCAGAGATCATTTAGATATGCTTAGCTGATAATTTAAGCTTATAATTAAAAAATGATTTATTGACATAAGCTTTAGTGGAAGAAGATGTTAGAGCTTCATGTTAAGTCCTCATTCACATCCTTTAGACTCGAGGATTATTTATAACAAGCCCTTATAGCTAGAAGAGTTGGGTGAGAGTAAAATCTCTGTACCTGCTCCATTTTCCCCATGGGGATAAATCCTTCTCTTTTAATTCTCAGACAGGATAGGACCCGAGGAATCACTTCAGTTTCACACTTCATCACGCCCGCTCTTCAACAGTTTGTCAGGATTTCCTCTGCTCATCGGAGAAGGCAAACCCGAGTATCTTGCCTCCCTGCGTCGTGCAGGTGCGCAGGGTCATCGCCTCACAACCCAGCTGAACCAGCTAAGGGCAGAGATTAGATCAGAAATATCAGTGCGAGCCGGGACAAAAAGAGGCAGGGAGGGACCTGGTGAAAAATAACATTGCTATGTGCCACCAGGAAGGAGGGCTTGCCCGTCCTTCAGAGCACTCAGCTCATAACCCAGCAGTATTTTATGATGCTTAATAGCTTCGTCGGCGATCCAGATGATGGGAGGGAGCGTGTCCTGAGGACTTTTGCTGACGAGACCAAACTGAGTGGGAAGTGGACGCTTCGGAAGGGAGAGCCACGCCGCAGGGAGGCCTGGCTGGGCTGGAGGGGTGGGCTAACAAAAACCTGCCGAAGGTCGACAAGGCCAAGTGTGAGGTCCTACGCCCGGGAAAACACTATCCCAGCAGAGGCTGGGATCTACCCGGCTGGGGAGCAGCTCTGGGGAAAGGGACCTGGGGGACAAGAAGCTCCAGAGGAGGGAGCAGGGTGCTGCTGCGGCACAGAAAGCCAACGGGGTGCTGGGTGCATCGGCGAGGGCATCGCCAGCAGAGGCACAGAAGTCATTGTCCCGCTCTACTCAGCACTTGCCAGGCCACACCTGGAATATCGTGTTCAGTTTTGGTCCCCGCTACGCAAAAAAGATGCAGCCGGACTGGAGAGGGCCCAGAGGAGGGTCACAGAGATGATCAAAGGGCTGGGAAGGCGGAGAGGACTGGGTTTGTTCAGCCTCAGGAAGAGAAGGCTGAGGGGAGACCCTCTCACCACGTTCCAGGGTTTGAAGGGTGGCTGCAAAAGAGATGGAGACTCCCTTTGTGCAAGGCGCCCGATGGAAAAGACAAGGGGTGACGGGTGCAAGTGACTCCTGGGGATATTCCAGTTGGGCACAAGAGGAAAACGTTTCACCACGAGAACAATCAGCCACTGGAATAATCTCCCCAGGGAAGTGGTGGATTCCCCAGCACTGGGCACGTTACGATTCAGCTGGACAGGGGGGCTGGGCCACCTTGTCGAGACCAGGCTGCTGCCAGAAAGGTTGGACCAGCTGATCCTTGAGGCCCCTTCTAACCTGGCATTCTATGATTCTATGATGTTTAAAAACTCAACTTTTTATCTCCAAGGGGTGCAAGGCTGGGAAAGGACTTTAGAGAGTCATCCAGTCTGCCCCAGGGCTTTCCATCTGCACCCGGGTGACCCAAAGCTGGTGGAGATGGTCAAGACCTGGCCCTGACAGAGACCTTCCTGACATGGAGGAGGGCAGCTCTTCCCACCGCCCTCAGTGTTCGAAAATATCACATCAAAATGAAGGTGAAGCATGGAATACCTGCAGCTGTGAGCAAAATATTTACTACCTTGTGCCACACAGAGGTAGGCAGGGGCTGCGGCAGGAGGACCTGCCCCGGGGAGCTGCTGCTCTGTCTATAGGGCCTCCAAGAAAAGCATTTTCCTCTGCTCAGCCCCGACCCTGAGCTCTGGCCGTCCCCCAGCGACAGCCCCTCGGCCGCAGGAAGATGACAATTAGTGCAAACATCTTTTGCAAGATAAGAAAAAAATGTTGTTTCCTGCAGAGTTCACAACAGAGCCTGCTCTTGGCAAGGCCGACAGAAATCCGGGGAAACGCTGTTGATCACAGCAAAGTTATTCCTTTTTCCTTTTTCTAACAGTCGCTTTAGGTCAAAGTCTTTCCTTGTGCGCCCTGAATATGCTCTGTCAACAGTGGTGATGCAAGCAGGAGAGATCGCACGTGATGGCCTTCTGCTAAGCAGCTCCGTGTTATTTTACTCAACATTTACTCTGCGTGGTGCCCACAAATCCACCTGATGGGAGAAGGTAAATATTTCCCGAGCTGACGCTCTCCCAGAGGAATGCTTGCGCATCACTCAGCTATGCTGGAAATGAATCACCTTTCAAATATTTGCTTTATCTTACCTTACCGTATAATTACCATCTCGACTCCCCCACCAATTTTATTTTGTGAGCAGTTAAATAGCTGGCTTTAAACCCACGACGGAGGCACCGAAGCCTGAAAACGGTGAAGAAGCGGGGATGCTGCGGGAGGGCAGCGCCCAGACCACGGCTTCTGTCACGCGCTTTCCCCCGGGACCGATCCCAGCCCTGCTCCGAGCCGCAGCACCCAAAATCTGCCCGAAAGTGGAGACAAACCCCCCGAGCCCCCCATCCAGGGGACGCCCCGCTCGCCCCTCTGCAGCGACAGCAGCCCTCCTCATCCCCCTCGTCGGAAAAGTTGTAATCTAAGCAGCCCGTAGCAGCGAATTATGTAGCTTTAATTCTTGTTTAATTTAGATTGGAGAAGATAACTATTATATGTTTACTAAATATCAATTAATTATTTAAGATATATTTGTCGCAGCTCACAACAATGCGATTGATGTGTATCAGGCCTCCATTAAACCTTAATAAACACGTGCTTTTAACAAACGATCAGCTTGTAAAGCGTAATAGCTATTCCACGAGATGAAATGAAGAGATTAGCCAGAGCCGGTGGGCGATTTTGGCGCTGGGTGAGGGAGCCGAGCAGCGGAGGGGCTGGGAAATGACAACCCTCGGTCCTCCTGCATCTCCGTCAGCATCCCCCCCCAGCGCCGGGTGGTCCGGGATGTCCTGAGCATCGTTCTCAGCTGGCAGCACTCGCCCGTCCTGTGTGTTAAAGGCAGTCAAGTGTGAGGCAGAATCTGAAACCGATGCTCCATCAGCAGTATGCGGATGAGAGGGGACTGTCACAAACAATGACTTTCTTTATCCCTTTGCGTTTTGTTCCCATGGCATGAAGGTCAGGAGGAAACTAGATTTATTAAAGCATAAACAAACTGCATAAATGTTTATGGTAATTCCACTTCCGTTAAAAATACCGGTTATTTTTAAAGCTACTTTAAATTATCTCCTTTCTAATGAAAACTCACATGTAATCTGTTAGTGAGGGATGTCTGTTGAACCATGAATTATTCAAAGAAGTCTCTGTTCTGTTATCTGGAGTCTCTGGAGATTATTCCCACCATTGTCCGTTGTGATGGGTCATTATGCACTCTGTGAATTTAATCTTTTAGGCTATCCAGCAGCACAGAAAAAATGTATGAATAACAATTTTCCTGTAATAACCTTCAACTAACCTTTCAACCAGAGTGAGTAATTCCAATCCTATTTTCACATCAATAGAAGAGTCAAAGCTAGGCAATTATCTCTTATCTGTTCCATAACCCTCCCCCTTTAATTTTTAAAAAGGATGTTAAAGTACTTACTGGAGGCAAGAAGAAGAAAGGAGGCTGGAATGAAGTATGGGCAAATTTTGATGAACAGTGATAGGGGTGCGGTTTAGATAATTATTAATTTCTCCTCTCCCCCCGCCTCCCCCCCAATTTTGTTGCATTCCTCCATTCCCAGTGGCACACCAGTTGCCTCATCCTACTGGGGCAGGGGGAGGACCACCCCCCCCACCACCACCCCACCCCACTCCGTGGGTCCCCCTCTTCTTGCCCTCGATGGGAAATGTCACCGAGGGGGATGCTGCTCCCCGTCACCCATGGCTCGGGGCGGCCCTGAGGTTCGGGGGCTGCCCTCCGCGAGGCTCCCGGGGTGCACAGGCGGCTCTTTCAAGGGGTAACAGAACCCAACCCTGCTCCCCAGCATCCCCCCCCAAACCCCAGCCTCACTTTCTGGGGCTTGCAATGCAGAGGAGAATCAGACACACACCCCACGAGAGGTGGCACGTGGGCTCCGGCCACCCGTGGGACCCAGCCCCCTGCCAGCATCGGGTGAGGGTTACCCGGAGGCTCTGGCATCCCCAGGGGGGTCCTCGGGTGGGGCCACGAATTTTCAGAGAGGATTCAGGCAGCAGTAAGGAAGCGCTGGTGAATCCCGGTCTGTTTGGATTTCAGTTTTCTCGGTCGGGCGCCGCACCAGCCATGTTTGAAGGTCAGAGGTTTGTGATGATAAGCCAGGAATGAGTAAGCTGATTGCCAGCCTCGAACTCTCCGGTGGGAATTTGTATCAGCTGAACTCCAGAAAAAAAAAAAAAAACAAAAAAAAAAAAAAAAAAAAACAACAAAAAAAACCCCCAAACCTCTCCAAGGCTCAGGAAGGGACATTTTATCAGCGAGGAGGCTCAGGCGGGGGTAGGAGCCGATGGGGAGGACCGGGATCTCCCCGTTCCAGCCCTGTTCTGGAGTGCTGCAGGTCTGGGCAAGGCAGGAGTAAAACCAAGCAGGGAGAAGTGTCCAGGCACTGACACCCCCCCCCCCCCCCCCCCGCCAACAGCAGCACCCACCTCCCCCCCTGCACCCCACCCGCTCCATCACCCTGCTCACCTGGTCAGATACGGGGAGGAAAGGGGTGACATCCCCCCTCCCGCTGCCGGGCAGCATCCCAGCACAGCCCGGAGCTTGGGGATGCTGCTCAAGTCTCACCGTATTTTTTTCTCTTCCTTACCTAACCTCTGCTCACAAGGTGGTTTAGGATGAAACCCCTCAGGCAGTGCCGAGAGGAGTGGGGGGGGCAGCGGTGCCGGCCCCCACCCGCGTGTCCCCACCAACCCAGGCTCACCCCGAGCCCCTTCCCCCGGGAAAACCCACCCCCGCTGAACCTCTGCGAGACCCCACGGCACACACGAGCGGTGCTGCCCAGCGGCCCCATCCCCGGCACCTTCCCTTCGCAGACGGACCGACCTCTCCGGAGCGGGCGCCCCAAAACACCTCGGGGTGCTGTTATGCTTCAGAGCCCCCCCCCCCCCCCCCCGTGGCCCCGCCTCGTGCCCCCCGTGCTGTACCCACACCCCACGCCGCAGCCGTGCAAACGGAGCGGCCCTCGAGACACTCACCTCTGCGCTCTCAACGGGGATTTCTGATGGGACTTTGGTGTTGGCGAAACCCGGAACATCTGCTCTGAATTCAAAGGCCCTGGGCTTTCAAGGTCAAGGCCGCAGCGCTGGCAGAGCTGCCTGTCCTGTCTGGGCCAGCTCGGACCCCTGTTAAAAAGTGGATTATTATACATACGCAGAGATATATACGTATAAACACAGAGCAAGAGTTGCGAGCTGGTGGAGCCTGTGCGCGTCCCAGCCCCAGCTGTCATTGCTGCGAACACAACAGCATCCATCAATGCAAATCCCCTTCCCCGGTAAGTGTATAAAATTGCCCTATTTGCACTTGCTATTTCCTTCAGGAACAGAAATATCGCTGGAATAATCTCAGCCGGATTGCCAGCGCTGTTGCCGCAGAAGGATCGCATTTGAAAGTCTAATGACGGACATATCCCTCCTAATCAGAACAGTAATTTCATGGGCAAAACACCCCATTGTTTTGCAGAGAATGGCGACCAGGAAACAAGAATGCTGCACTAAACATTAATTGTATCAGTGCCCAGGCATTTAAGAGAGCAAGGACTTCTCAGAGCAACGCACACCCCAGTTTTTGGGACAGTTGTCTTTAAGAGCCCTGGAAGTGGATGAGAAGGCTGATCTGCCGCCAGCTGGCAGGCTGGTGAGCTCCGGATAAATGCAGGCTATTGTTCGGGGCTTTTACAACAGCACCATCAAGCAAAGAGGAAAGAATAAAAAATAAAAATGGGGAAAAGAAAAATATATATATATATAAAAAAAAAAATAAAACATCTGGCAGCACAGAGGTGAGGGCAGGAACAGGGGGCTGGCAGGCAGTGCTGCCCGGTGCTGGGGTGCCCGAGACGCCCCTCGCCGTGCAGAAGGGTGCTGGGTGCTGGGTGCTGGCTCGCCCCACACATCCCACTGGCAGCTGAGCCACTGGCCGCATCCTGCCTGGCTCAGGGACGTGGCCAGCACCCCTCGCCAGCGGGCAACCCCGCGGGGAGCTGGCTGTTCTTCGCCAGACCCGCGGAGCATCGGCTACGCACGCTATAAATCAGCATAGGAAATCAATGCCTGGCTCGCTGGGGAAGGTTAACAGTCAGACCTTGTTTTGGGGGAAATTCTTTTAACATGAGCTTCCCCAGCAGCACAAACCGCCCAGGCTTTGCCCGTACATGGCCAGGCACAACCGTCCCCCCAGCCCCGACGCAGCCGGAGCGGAGCATCCCGGCCCAGGGGGCTCGGCCGCGCTGCCTGCTCCCGGATTGCGTTGGAGCCGACCTGTTTATTCTCTGCATTGCAAGCACTCCCCGGTTCCCGCCGCTTTAAGCCGATTAGAGCTCGGTAGGTGTTGCTCAAATGCACTTGCCGCGCGTGTCCCGACACGTCTGCTGCACCGTAACGCCTGTCTGGCCAGCAGAAATGTTTGAGCGGCGCTGGCCAAGTCTCTATAAATTACTTCTTAGTCACCCAGGCTAAGATCTCCGCGCCACATCTCAAAAATAGCTGTAGGCTGAGAACAGACTTCTCAAAAGCAATTAAAAAGACCCAGAAAGTAAACAGAGCGGGGTGAAAACCGAGAAGTCTCCAAAGTCGGAGCTCTGCTGGGTCCGCTCATAAATGCCGTGCGATTTTCTACCGAGGCGGGTTGGAGATAAATCAGGGCGCTTGCGAAGAGCTCGGCGAGGTGCATTTGTCACGCTGGACGTTCCTGGCAGAGCGGGCAGAAATGCCTCCATCCCCCGCGAAGGCAGGCGTGGGCAGAGCCCAGCCCTGCAAACCCACCAGCCTTGATGGCGACCCCGCAGGAGGCCCCCGCCAGCACTTACCAAACCCCCCCCCCCCCCCCTCCTCTTGCAGGTGACCCCGAGGAGGAAGCATCCCTTCCCTCAACCCTGAGGAGCATCCGAGCTCCCGGAGATGTCGTGAGCAAGCCCGTGCGCCAAGCAGCCGTGCCCCACGGACATCATCCCCCCCGGGTGGGCACCGAGCTCTCCCCGCAGCCCCCAGCCGCTTTCCCGTGGCTTCCTTTGCCCAAGGACCCAGCAAAAGGACTCTCCGGGCGAATATTTCCAGAATTCCTCAAACATGAACTCGCACAAATACGAATGTTGGATTGAGACCCAGCACTTGCGCTGCAAAATTATGCCCTATCAACAGCTATTCTTCCTCCAGAGGGATATAGTATGTGGTTTAATGACTCCAGTTGGCTTTAAAGCCTGAAACACAATTGTGCTGCCTGTGGCCAGATTTCCACTCAGACGATTTTGAAAAGTGCAGTCGCACGCCTAGGCTTACGGGGTGTCTGGATGCTCGTCCTCAAAGTCTCCCCGCGGGAGCCGACAGCCGGTGCCCCGAGCGCTCGGCGGGGTCACTCGTGGGGGTCCCAGCACCCACCGTGGCCGGGCGCTCTGCAGACTCAGCAGAATACGGGCCGGGCACCCACCGCGGTGTCACGGAGAGCGGCAGGGAGGGGGTCGACAGGCCACCTGACGTCCCAGAGGTGGCGAGGGCAGCGGTGTCGCAGGCAAAGCTTGCACCACAGCGCGTGGTCCTCCCCACTGAGATCTGCCTGGGCTGGGAGGGGGGGGGGGGCATCGTCTCCCACAGCTCCTTTTCCACTTGGGAGGAGGGGAAGGAACATCATCCTCAAAGAGCCGCCGAGCGGAACAGTGGGGCGATCCCGTGGGGTGGGGAGTTATTTGAGAGCAGGGAAGGCTGGTGAGGGCCTGGCCAAAGGTGAGGCACAGATAGGCAGGAATGGTTAAAACTCCGTTTTGGGGCCACTTTTGCCCACCTACCCCACGGCCAGGGTGAAGAGAGAAGTGCTGCCCCGTCCCCCTGCACCGCCGAGAGGCGGCGAGGTGCCCACCTCCGAGCCGTGCCCCCTTTTTGCAGCGGCGCTGGCAATCAAAGCCAGATCCAACGCCCCTCCCCTTCCCCAATTCCATCTGCCCCATCGAATTGCAGAGCAAAATACCCCAAACACTTTATTCCCAGGTCTGGCCACGGAAAGCAGGAGCTAATTTGCCCGGTGCGGCTCCACACCGATCCATCCTGCTTGCTCCGGTGGTGACGGCGGCTGGGGCAGAGCAAACACTAATGAGGCAGTGAAGACAAACATTTTGTCAGCGCTGACAAAGGTGAGCTTTTATTAAAGGAAAATAAAAATAAAAAAAAAAAAAAAAGAAAAAAGAAAAAAAATTAATTGGGACAGCTTCCAAACGAGCCCTTGCGATGAAAGAGAGGGCGCAGCGGGGAGGCAGGTGTACTTACCCGCCGAACGAGAGCCATCTAAAGCCGACTGCAAGCAGGTAATTTTAGAGACAATGATTTAGAGCGAAGCACAGAGAGGATTTCGGAAACCATGGTATCGGGTCCCCACGGTGCTCATTAAGGTTGTACAGATTGCATTTCCCATCTCCCTGCTAGCCCTCCAAAGTGCCTGTTATTAATTCATAAAAACATTGCAAGAGTGATTGAATCCAATGATTACTGGAGCAGGCAAACACAAGAGATGGTAAAATATTCTGTCTCTCTCTATCAAGGCACTCCGCGCACAAAAAAAAAAAAGGGGAAAGCAAAAAAAAAAAAAATAAAAAATAAAAGTGTTGTGAAATATTAATCAGAGCTGTTTGCCCCTGGGCAGAAAGCGGGGAACGGTGCAATCAATGTAGTGCGAGCTTTCCCAGTGACATCTATTTGAGAAGCTGATTACTGTGGGTAAACACAACTAAATATTCTGGATCTTTGGATTTCACCTCTAGTGTCGCCACTAAAATCCGATTCCCTTATCATCCCTCCGCAGGCGCGGCCCCGGGGGAATCCGGCAGCGCTGCTCCTGCTGCAGCTGGCGGAGGGAGGAGCGGGGGGGGGGGGACACGGGGTCTGATACGGCTTGCTTCAATTGCATTATAAACATTAGCTCGGGGGATGATCGCATGAAAGACGTTGCAGGAGCCCTTGGCAGGCCGGAGGATTTATTTATTGCCTGCTACGAGCCCTGAAAGTGTAACTAATGGATTGAAGACACACGGGGAGTGCAAACAATTAATAGAAAATTAAGAGAGAGCGGCGCGTCAGCAGCGTTGCAGGCAGATCTGGCAGTGCCGAGGGCAGGGCGAGGACACCGCCGCCCCGCAGCACTGACCCCGCGCTCCTGAGGCAGCTCCCGCCCCTCAGGTCGCTGCTAATTAGCTACGTAGCCTGACCTAATTGTTTCAGCTAGAATTGGGTTTAATAGAACCGGCCGTGTCGTCGCGCCGCGGCTGCGGGACGCGGGGCCGGGCACCCTGCACACCAGCACCCTGCCTTGCCGTCAACATTGCCTTGCCATTTATTATTTTTTTTCCCGGGCTTGTCTATCACCTCCCAAAAAGCAGAAAACTTTGGACTGAGAAACAGTTTTTCCAGCAACCAAAAATATCACATTATCATTTTTTTTTTTAAGAAAACCTCCCGAATTCTCAATAGAAGAAAGAACTGAAGAGTAATTATTTTCTCACAAAGCCATTTTTCTTTGGAAAAAAAAAAGCTTCAGTAAAATTTTCAACTGGTTCTTGTTCTCAGGAAGCTGTTAATTACTTGTCATACACTTCTAAAATAATTCTCCCCTCTTCCAACCTCCACAGAGCCCTGGCCCACACAGGCTCCACTTCCCCCGCCGCTTGAAATGTCTCCACGCAGCCAAAGCAAATGACTCTGGGAGCGTAACATGCATCTCTCCCAGATGTTCAGGCATTAAAACAAGCATTAGGAAATGTGTGCGAGAGTGATGATGGACTCCTTTCATTGTCAGACTTTCCTGGCTTGGCAATAACACCGGGGCTGGCGCTGATACGACGGACGAGAAGCCGTAAGGACGCTGATGGAGCGGTGCGTGAGCACCAGCCATTTCCAGGAATGTTTTTGCTAAACGTGGTGTTTTGCTTTCAACCGAGCTGGCTCGGATGAGGAGGGCTTTCCCGGAGCAGAGAGGTCCTCGAAAAGCAGCGGGCAGGGCAGACAGCGCTGCCGGGAGCCCCGGCTTGCACCCCCCTCCACTCTCCAGACGAATTTCTGTGCAAGGCTTCCTTCCATCTGGGGAGCAAGGGATACCTCGGGGGGTGCTGCCTGAGAGCGCGCTTTTTTTTTTTTTTTTTTTCTTTTTCTCATTTATGATGGGCAGACTTTTCTCTTGCCAAGCCCCGAACCCCAAAACACCCAACCAAAATGCACAAACCTACGGAACCCAATCCACCCGCTCCCTCTGGGTGTACGTAATCCATCCGAAACACAAACGTGCATTTTTTGTTTCGCTTCGGGGTGAATTCTTCCTGGACTTACAGCCACGGAAACTGAGCTCTCCTTATCCAAAGCTCATATATAACCTACTTATTATCATACCATAGCTTCCCTCCCATTGACCAGCTGGTATGAGTAACTTTTCCCCGTACTCATGCAATCGTGACTTTCTGACCCCACTACTCTCTCTGTACATACATTTCTTTCCAATTCATTCCAATCCTGCACCACCTGGGGCCAATACCAAC